GAGAGAGAGAGAGAGAGAGAGAGAGAGAGAGAGAGAGAGAGAGAGAGAGAGAGAGAGAGAGGGTCAGAGCAACGACTAAATTCGATAGAACTATGGGCAGCAACATGCCAGCATGGTCTCACTGACAGAGATTGGTGGCTGCCTCTGCCCCTCTAGATCTGAAAAGATCATCGGCTTCATTGGTTGAATTCAGTTCCAACTTCAAAGACGAACCCATTTGCACTTCTCTCGGAAAGAGTCAGATCAACGGCTGAACTGATTCGAACCCATTTCCACTTCTGTTCCTCCTTGCAAGCTACTCATTCGTTAACAATTACTACTGTAAAATGTCTGTAAGTGTTTTCCACCAGGGCCAGCGAAACTCGCAGTCATCGCAACGGCTGGCGAAGTGGTCATTCTTTCTGTGGTGCTTCTTATCCCGACCGCTTGAAGTTCTTGTCTCGACAGTTTGTATCCTGAATAGGAAAGCAAAGGGATCCATGGACAGAGAAGAGCACAGGAGATCCAGAAGAAGAGCACGAAGGCAGTGGGGGTGGTACACAGAGGAGAAACACGGTGAAGAAACTGGACAGTCGCAGGAGGCTTGAGCACCCAAAAGGTACTGGACCAAGAACAGGAGGAAGAAGACAGTGCACAGAGAGGGACGACATTGGGTAGAATCAAGTGCCAAGAGAACCCAGACAGTAGGGGACCGAGAAAAGGAGGAGAACAGTGCTCAGAGGGAAGAGAAGTCGGAGGAAAACAGGCTACAGCTTTTCTCTCTCTCCAGTGCCGGTCCCGTGAAAGCGACCGGCACCGGCCGGTCACAGGGGCCGAATTCGGTGAACGGCCGTTCACGGGGTTTCCGCCCACGTGGAGGCCAGGATGGTCGGGATCGGGGCAGGAGGGGGGTGGTGCGGGGCCCTTCTACACCGGCGTGCCTTTTAAAAAAAAAAAAAAAAAAACAGAATGGGGTGTGCGGAAAAAAATAAAATAAAATGTTTGGGGGGTGGAGGTGGGTGGGGGTTGGCGCAGGGCCGTAGGGCCCTGGCAGAGAAGAGAAGCGAGGAAAAAAAAATTAAAATTCTCTCTCTCTCTCTCTCTCTCTCTCTCTCTCTCTCT